CTCGTTTTTCCAAATAGACTGTAGTGTTATGAAAACCGTTCGGCGAACGGTTTTCAAATTTTGTAATTCCAATCATTAATATCTTGATAATCAGACAGGCGATCGGCTTGTAAAAGTCATGGAGTTCCTGACTAACCTAAAGGTTTATAATTATCATCGCAGCATGAGCTAAATCAAGGATTATTTCTAAAGGATCTAAGACAAAGTTACCGGATCCCTTTAACCGTGCTTTAATTATCTGAATTCAGTTCTCCCTCTCCCGCGCTTTTTTGACGTTTTATTATTATATTATTGGAGAAAGTAGACGATTCGTTGAACCGTGCTCGACTTTTAATCCTTGTCTGAATGAAGTTTCCCCCTTGGGCGCGAAGCGCGGAAGTTTTGACGTTTCCTTAAATTATAAGAGAAAGCAGACGAATTGTTGCACCGTTTTCGACTCTTAATGAGCCCCATTTGTCTAAATTCAGTTCCCCCTCTCGCGAGAATGGTGGAAGCTTTGACGTTTCCCTAAATTATTAGAGAAAGCAGATGATTCGTTGTACCGCTCGCGACTCTTAACCCTAATTTGTCTGAATTCAGTTTCCTTCCTCCCTTTGACTTTTCCTTAAATTATGAGAGAAAGCAAACGATTCGTTGTACTGTTCTCGACTCTTAATCCTTATCTGAATTCAGTTGTACCCCCTCCCGCATGAACCGCAGAAGCTTAGACGTTTCCATAAATTATTAAGAGAAAGAGGACGATTCGTTGTACCGTTATCGCCTCGTCTAAATGAATTTTTCCCTTTCCGCGCGAATTTTTGGCGTTTCATCAAATATAGAAAAAGGAAGACGATTCGTCGTACCGTTGTTGACTCTTAATTCTTGTTTGAATTTAGTTTCCCCGAAAATGTTAAACCTCTGATTTCTTTAGCTGATATCATGGTAAAGTGAAACTTCGAGAAAATACAAGTATTGTAGTTGTAGTCACTCTCGAAGTCGTCACAGCGGATAAAAAGTCACAGTTCGTACGGAAAAAACTTTTCGGCCGACAGACAATATACATCTCACCGACTTCAAACTTTTGCATTGATACAGTACACGAGGATCGAGCAAGAATACCGACACAGCTGACCCGACACAGCAACATATTTACCCGTGTCTTTCATGCTCCCTAGACGAGACGACTCCACCCAACAACCCCCTCTCTCTTTTACTCCCACTCCTCCTCTCTCAGGCTCTTACCTCCCCTCTCCCTCCTCTCCTACACCCCCCGTTTCTTTTGTTTCCCTTTTATCTTTTTTCTCCTTTTTTCCCTTTGCTGTCTTTTCTTTCTTTTCCTTTCCTCTTCTCCCTCTTTTTCCTTTTTCTCTTTTTCTCTTTCCTTTTTTTTTCTTCCTTCCTTTCTTTTCTTCTCCTTTTCTTTTTTTCTTTTCTTTCCCTTTCCCTCTCTTTTTTCCGTCCCCCTTTTCTCTTTTTTCCCGACGGCAGCGCAATTTTATCGACAATATCCTGACAGGTGGGGGGGGGGGGGGGGTTGTCGCACCCCACCCCCCCCCCCCTTTGGAGACCCCCTGGGTTTAAATAATGTGATTATTACCATGAACCTTGGATAACCTGTGAAACTAATCGATAAAGGTGCCAAAGAATTACTTATTTATCACCACCATCAGTTAACGGATAAAAAAGTTCGTTGCTTGGTCAAGCGGTTATTTGGTCATAAACATTTGATTTACAGAGGTAAGTGAAATCACAATATTGCTGTAGTTCTTGCCCCAGGGGGGGGGGGGCTAAAAATACCCATTATCTCTGAACTCTATCGAACATGTCATTGCCTTGCCTACAGTAGTTCTAAAATTAAAGGCGACGAAATGGTAGTTCATGCCCTAGATCAATAACTGGCCAGAGAGACCAAATTCATCAAACCAGTTTACGAACGAAATGGAAAGATACTAAAAAATCTGTCAAAATGAACCTAAAAGAGGAAAGCAGGACCAAATGAAAGAAATGAAATGGAACTTCTCCTAGTCTAAGATGACTTCATAAATGCACAAGAAATGGAAAACTGTGACTTGTCTTGGAAGTCCATCATTTTCAATCTACCACAAGGAGTTTTAAAATGTGCAATAAATACAGTGAGCGATTGATAGTCTGCCGAGTAATAACAACTTGTATCGATGGGGTAAGCAGATAAATGACTTGTGTAGTTTGTGTCAAGCTAAAGATACCATGCATCACGTATTGAATAATTGTCAGAAAATGTTGAATAAATACACGTGGCGTTAAAATAACATTGTACATAATCTGCTAAACAGCATTAAACAGAACGGCCTTGATAATGATCACCAAGTTTATGCCGATGTGGAAGGGGAGACTACCAATGGAGGGACAGTTCCCCAACCATTGTTCCCACACACCAACGCCCTAATATGTGTTTTATTAATTTTAGAAAAAAAGAAATACTATCATTTGAGTTGACAATCCCATTTGAAACCAACATACAAACAGGCCCACCAAAGAAAAACGGACAGGTACACCGGGCTGATACATGATATATCAGAAGCCGGCTGGACTCCCAAATTATTGTGTGTAGAGATAGGTACCCGTGGTATGATAATTCCAGATAACAAGAACAGAATTATAGCATGGAATCAGTTGGACAGATCATTGAGAATGGCAAGCTCTGTAAACACCTTTAAATACATGTTCTAACAATCTTGCATCATCGAATCCCAATGAGGTAAACATTTCCTTAAGGCCCGGTCACACAGGGAGGACGCATGGGGAACGCACGGCCAGCGCATGGGAAATTTGCAATTTTGGCCAGTGCGTTGTCGTGCGCCCAACTTTTGACACCAAATGCATAGCGTGTTGCTAGCGCGCTGAGCGCATACAGGGCGCATACAGTACGCAAACAGACCGTACCCAGAGCGCACATGATAACAACTTCCACGAATGTACAGCGTGTTGCTAGCGCGCTGGACGAATGGTCCACGCATGCACCGCCATCTACGACGCACGGCCAGCGCATTGGAAATCGGAAAAGGCCGTGTGCCTAACTTTTGTCATGATTTTGGAAAAGCTAGCGAGCTGACACAAAATGCACAGCGTGTAGCCAGCGCGCTGTGCGTATACAGGGCGTGTGCCCCGCGTATGTCTGGCGCTGGTCTAGCGCGCTCAACGCACGTCTGGCGTGCCTTTGGCGTGTACATTCATGCGTCGAGCTCCTCGCACACTTTTGAGCATGCTCAAAAAATCCCGATGCACACAGCGAATGACGACGAATGCATAGCGCTGGTCCAGCGTTGGTCCAGCGCGCTCGACGAACGAGTAACGAGTGATGACGCACGCCTAGCGAACGACAACGCACTGGCCAAAATTGGAAATTTTCCATGCGCCGGCCGTGCGTCCCGCATGCGTCCCCTCTGTGTGACCGGGCCTTTAGCACTGAATGTATGACGATATAATGCTTTTCAAACTTAAAGAATGATTTCATATAATGTTTTATCAGCTATGAATACATTTGTATTTTTAATGTTATTTAAGAGTGTACATTCAATTGCTATACTAGATTACATGCATTCATTTGTCTTATTTTGCAGTAATTTACTTTCCTGTAATATATTTTGTTGTTGTAAATATGTATATAACAATTGAACTTTCAAAGTATATGTTGCCTTTTTTCAAGGTCTAGGCTAATACTTACCAAAATATGCTAATAGTTACTTTCCATCGGATTTAAAAACTAATTACCGTCTATGCTATAATGTTAAAATTAAAATATTATAATTATGCAACAACGTTTTCTTGAACGAAAAGCAAAGCAAAACAAAACAAATAAATCATTCTTTTATTATGAGGATACGAAATGCTTTGTATATATGTTTAAACATGTTCTTCCTTATTGTTTATTGCTGTTATGAATTTATGTTCAAGGTTTTGCCATTAATATTATTATCATATATATATATTTGTTAAACTATAATGTACCTCATTTTGTTTAACAGGGCCTCATGGAAGACCACCATTATTGGTGATAATGAGTCACCCTGTCTAAATATTAGAAATAAATAAATAAATATGTTGAAAACATGTAAATGAAAAGTAAGGTATCCACAACTGAGAAATGAAATCTTGAAAACTGTACTGTTTGTTATTTTTTGAAGCCGGTCGGAACGCACCTGGCAATCACAACACTGCTTGGGAGTGTAATTAGTTTAATTATTTGGTATGACTTGCTGTAGAGAGACCTCTCTCTGTCTCTGTTTCTCTCTTCTCTTTCTATTTCCCCCTCTCTTTCTTGTTCTATCTCTCTTTCTTTCATTCTCTCTCTCCCCCTCTCTCGATATATATCACCCTCTCTCTATGGTGATAGGTTCTCGTGGTGTGATTACGCATGCTAAGAATAGATTGATTGATAGTGATGGCGGTACGTAAAAATAAGGTGAGGTATATGTAATCGGGGAAAGTAATATTCCAAAATAATATGTTGTGGGTTTATGTTATTTGTTACAGCCTATCGGAACTCACTGGGCAATCACTGCAATACTTGGAGGTGTTATTACTTTAGATTTCATAGGAGACGTATATAACCTGCTATAACGGGACCTCCATATCTCTCTCTCTCTCGCTTTATCTCTCTCTCTCTCTCCCTCTCTTCAACTCTCTCTTTCTATGAAGATAGGTTCCCGTGGTTGATTACTCATGATATTAAGAAGAGAAAGATAGATATACATAGCGAGGTATTCCTAATGAGGAAAGTAATATTTTTTGGTTTGTAAGGAATAATTATTTGTTTTCATTTTAAGAAAATGTCTTTATGATGTTCTCTTTTTCTGTTTTTTGGATTGTGTATTGTAATTGTTTAACCCTGAATGAGATGCATCCAATGTAATTCAAATCTTGGACCTGGATTTTATGTAACATCTTTATTATTATGTGTCATTTTTTTTCTTCAATAAAGATGAATACCCTAAACAACAAACAATCCTTTTAATTTGTTTTTTAATTGTTTGGCGTTCAATTTAATCCTTACCGTTAGCATTAAATTCCAACCCACTGGGATACGAGAGGCCGGAACTGACAATGACGTTTCTGTCTCCGCCATCAAGATTGGCCCTCTCGATTCGATCGTAATAATAGTCTGTCCAAAACATCACTCTGTATGAGGGTGGAGAATAGTAATTACAATGATAATGAAATGATGCAACGTATCTAGGTTTACACAGAATCTTGTTTTAATCCACATGATAATCTTTATTTATTTCAAACAGCCACCCAACTTCTTGTTTCATGATATCTAAGTTCTCTCTATCCACTTGTCCACTGCGCATTTTCATAAGTACTACAAAGGTAGTATCCCTAACTTAAGGTTCATCTGTGAAAACAAAATTAAAAGAAGCTAATTTCAACGGAGTTGAGTAGAAATGGGTATGGAAAACTACCCCCCAAAAAGGGGGAAGGTATGGGAGTTGGGGAGATTTTTTAAATTAGAGGTCAAAGGTCATAGACCCCTGCCTAAAATCATTAACAATTATATTTCAGCAACAAAATATGTTATACAGATGATCTAGATGTCAAAATGCACAGAATTACAAAAGAAGATGACATAAAATAATTATTGGCCCTTGGGACCAAATCCTAATCCAAATCCGATTTACTCAAAACTTTCTAAGTGAACATATACCGTATTTGGTATCATTCGAAAGGGCATTTTATTGCAGTCATTGTGACACTATTGTCATCTGCGTGCAATGCATTTCAAGGATTACATGGGTTTTGACGTAATACATAGTAAATTAATCATTTTTGGCGATAACTTTGCGGTGACATTTTACTAAACTTGGCAAACGTATATGGATACATATGTCTGACAAGTTTCACTGACGTAGTTATAGGCCTAAAGATTTGTTTATTTTGGAGCAAGTTGAAGTTATGTCGCAATTTTCTTGAAAACTTCAAATTTGGAGGGCAATTTTCGCAAAGTCGGTTAGTGATCGGAATATATCCTGAGGTATCAAAATCTAAAAAGGGTACGGCCGGGTTTGGCCGAGCCAATTTCAGAAACGTAGAGGGCGTTATCTATATCGTGCATTACATTGGATCGTGAAATTCGGCAGGGATATGTGCTTTGATACGATAAAAATACTTTAAAGGTTTAAACAAAACAGAATTGGTAAAAGAAAGTTATGGCAATTTGTTATGGTGATTTTGGAAAACGACGTGTCAAGTGGCCATATTGGATAACGGAAAATACGCCTACGAAATGAATCGGGCTGGAGAAAAGAACCTAGATAGGGATCACAAGCACTGTGTGCAAAACGAATGTGATTTTTGGCATGAGATAAAACGCAAACAAGAACAAGGCTTTGACAAAAGTAATTTATGCAATTAACACAAACTTCCTTCTATCTAGATAAGGAGAGAGAAAGAGAACTAAATGAATAAAGAGAGAGAGAGAGAGAGAGAGAGAGATAGAGATTGGGAAAGAGAAAGAAAGAGAGATGTGTGTGTGCCAGAGAGAGTGAGAATGGGGGAGAGTGATAAGAAAAGTGAAAGAGAAAGATTGAGGGAGAGAAAGAGAAAATGTGATTTTATATGTGTGTGAGTGTGCGTGTGAGAGAGAGGGAGGTATGGTGGCCCTGAAGGGGCATCGTGAATAGACGAAATCGCGAATTATTCAAAACATTGGCGACGAATTTCACGATATCGTCAATTTCGTCGAGAATACTTGGCGATAAAATTCACGACGTCGTCAATTTCGTCGTGAATAACTGGCGATAAAATTCAAGACGAGATTCACGCCTGGCTGGTTTCGTCGCCAATTACGTCATCAAATTTATTTTTTTCCTTGCTTACGCAATCTGCCTAGTCTAGCGGTAAACAGTCCAGCCCCTTGAAGACGATTATGACGAGAAGTTTTACCATGATTTCTGTGAAAATCGTAGGTTTTAACTTCATATTATGCTCTATTTGTATTTTATAGGGACAAGGGAAATTGTACATCGGAAAAATTACCCGGTATGCATTTAATAGTAGATCTTTTTCTTAATGCACTTGATGCATTGTTCCAGGGGCGGCGATCCCGGGGGGGGGGGGGGCGGGAGGGGGGGGGGGGGGGACACGTCCCCATCAATTTTTCTAGGGGGGACACGTCCCCCCCCCCCACAAAATTCGAAAAAGTGCGCACAAAAAATGTATAGCAAATACTGACTAAAGACTGCAACACCCTTTTAGGCTCTGGAGGGTCTAAGAGTGCAGCGTTTAGACAAACAAAAATGCAAAGATCTTCTCACTCGGGAAATACGCTCCCTCGTATAATATCCTTCAAAATGTATAAGTAAATACCGGGAAAAGTGAAGCGTAAAAAAAAATGTATATGTTTGTTTTTATACTATAGTTTTGCTAAGGACTGTATTTTTTTAATACAACAAAACTTCAAAAACCTGTGAGGGGCAGTCACATCCGCCACCTGAAACCCTTTCATTCATTACTGTTCCCTCGCACATGCGTAATGATGGGGGAGGGGGGGGGGGGGTTAAGGACAGTTCCCCCAAATGAAATTCAAACGTGGTTTATTTTTAATTCGATACCAGTGATTTAAAAAAGTTGCTGAAATGGCATGATTTTCCCTGAGCTTTCGGGGGCTCTGCCCCCTAGACCCCACCAAGGGCCATAAGGGGGAGCCCTTGGTTTCTCATCTGACCGTAATTTAATGCCGAAAACGCCTGAGCTTCCGGGGGCTCTGGCCGATGGATGCTCATCTGATCGTAATTTAATGCCAAAATCCCCTGAGCTTCTGGGGGCTCCGCCCCCTAATTGATCCTACTCAAATTAGTGACCTGCATGCCAGTCTCACAAATAAGGTTTAAACATATGCTCATCTGACCGTAAATAAATGCCTAAAACCCCTGAGCTTCATGGGGGTCCGCTGGGTCTTTGCCCTTGGACCCCACGCCAATTTACGCTCCACTTTGCTTTGCTTTGCTCTACCTGATCGTAAATACTTTAGCCCCCCCCCACACTTCGAAAAAACGTTCCCAGGGCCTACGTAGCATGTAAGAGTGGTGCTGATGATTCCCCCCTCATTACACCAAAGACTGCTCCCTCGTCCCTCGCATGTTGTCCCCCAGGTCATGAAAAGAAATCGCCGCTCCTGCATTGTCCCATAGCTATACGTTTACTTCCAAATAGTATTTTCTCCTGCAATAGCACACTCGTCGACTAGCTCGAACTGAGCTGAGCTGATTCGATGATTCAATTCGATGTAGGCAAGCACCAGATCTAGATCTACGAATCTGGGTTGACTTGTTTACTAAATTTGTAAGCTTACTCAGTGTATATACAACCTAACTAAATACAGTTCCAATGCACAGGCACAGGGCCAAGGGTAATTAACAAAAAAATAAACTAGTTAACAAATAATTAAATATTCCTGATATTATTAGTTAAAGCCACTCCATGGGCCTGTTTCATGAAACCAACTCCATGACAGTCATATCTTTGTTGGCGACCTACGGCGATGTCATAAAGTGAATAAACCGTTTTACAAAACCATGACCAACATGATATCGATATATCGCGATACTATCAGCTAAAGAACTTGGTCTTTTTCACGATCCATTAGATTTATCCCGAATAACCAAAACTAGTTTTTGGGCTAAAATTGTTCAAAAAGAAATATATATATATATATATATGTTTACATTCTCCTAAAATAAATAAAAGACAGTGTCATTGTCAAAGTAGATCATCAAACAATTTGCATATTGTGGTAAAGATGTTTAAATTGAAGAAAAATCCAGTGTCGTATCGCAGCTTTCGGGATCCACAAAGTTGGAAAACTGCGAAAATTTCTGGATCAAAGTTCTACTCATCGTCTTGTTAATGCCCTTGTAACTTCCCACCTTGATTACTGTAATGGACTATTAATCAATCTCCCTAGCTCTCATTTAGCCCCTCTTCAACATATTCAGAACACAGCAGCACGCCTCATCACACGTACAAGAAAACATGAACACATCACACCGATCATTCGTTCTCTACACTGGCTCCCCCTCCAACAACGTATCAAATTCAAGATTCTCATGATGACATACAAGGCCTTTCACAAACTTGCTCCCTCATATCTCTCGGCACTCATCACTCCTAAAACTCGTACTTCATCTATGCGTCTCAGATCATCAACCACAGCACATCTTCATCTTGCCCCAGGCCCTCGCACCCACACCCGCTATGGAAATCGTGCCTTTTCTGTCTGTGCCCCCCAACTTTGGAACAATCTTCCCCATGAAATACGCGAGTCCCCAACCTTAGAGACATTCAAAAGTAAACTTAAGACTTATCTGTTTAATATGTAATGTAATGTAATTATATTTTGTTTGTTTAACTATAAAGCGTTATGTAAATATTAACTATTATTATTGTATGATTGTTATTAGGAATTTGTTATTATAATTATGTATCATGTATTATATTCTTGTAATTTGTAGGTTAACATTACTTTAATTAAATTTTTTGTTAAGCGCTTAGAAACTTTGTATTAAGTGCTATATAAATGTAATTTATTATTATTATTATTATTTGAGTGGTTTTTTCGACAGTCGAATCAAAAGTTAGTTGAAGGATACCGTAATGTGATATTTTATCAATACGTACTGATTTGTGTACTGTGACTAGGATTTTTAGGCAAAATACCTTTTCTCAGCCAGTTTATAATTCTAGGGTCTCGTAAACACTCGCTATCTATTTGATTTGATATTGAAAATATAATTTGGAAGAAGTTATCAGAGAGGAAATAATAATGCACATAGGCCCCAAAGGTAAAATGGTATCCTATTGAAAGACTATGGATCGGCTATGGAGAACGGTGTGTACCATTTTTATCTATTTTATTGATGTTATCATTTCTGCAATTTAATTAAAATCAGTGGAAGGAAATACGTTGATTGAAAATAATTTAAACTGATATAATGTTCATATTCAGCTTTTTTAAACATCTGTATATTGTGTATTATATTTTTGATCAATGAAATCCTGTTCAGTGATTGGTCAACATAGCATCATGTGACCAAACATAACAATGCTATGATGTAACCGTGACATCATCCATGGTATAGTGCACTATACCATGGATGGCGTCATATAGGCGATCGATAAAG